ATGTTTTCTTCCTGATCGTGGCAGTAACACAACCGGACCATGAACTTTGTACTTACAATTGTTAACAGCTGATTTTGGGATCTGTAGCTGCTTTAAAATGGCCCATTGAAAGTAACTTTCTTGACTTGTTCTAGTTGCTACTCCTAGATTAAGGGCTTCCTTACTGCATGGCAGCCTCTCAGCTCATGGTGATGTAAAACTTGCTTTACTGTGGACAATAACACCCGTTTTTCAGCAGCTTCTAATTTATTGAAGATCAAAGGCCGGTATTACGAAGCAAGATCTGAAGTTATGGAGGTAACTTCAGATGTAACTCTGGGGTTTTGGTACTAGGACGGTGGTTCACTTGCGACTGAGGAACATCTCCATTGTAACTTCTGCTGAATGGCTAACCTGCTCCAGATAAGAGATTGGTGCATGTACAACCTATTCCCACTGACCAATCAGTTCACCTCGGAAACTGTGATCAGCAGTAGATTGTAATACTGATTTAGTACTGAACAGACACTAAGAGGGGAGGATACAAGTGATTTCAAAGTCATTTCATTGTTCTGTTCACCATTGTACAGCGATACAATCCCACAACAAAAACAGATTAAAACATTAAAGCTTTATAGCCTTATTGTTGACCTCATAAGATTGGCAATAAGCCTATTTATCAATGTGAATTATGTTTTAACATTTGTCCTTTACCTGCTTCAAAAACTGTCACAGACACAGACACCCAGACACACACAGAGCTGTTAAAATAGTCAGTACAACCATTGATAGCGTGTCAGCAATACAGCCACTGACTCTGAACATTAACTCCATTTGTGATCGCAGAAGTGTACAAGCTTCTAGGGTTTGAATATATAATTATAAATCAATTTCAAATAATTTTTTATAAACACATATTGCAGCAGTAAAAACACTGGGGAATAAGATTTTATATTCCTTTAGAATTGAATTAAAACAATGTAGTCACACAGCAGTCCAGGTACTTTACAGTTTTAATGGTAGCCCAGTGTCCTTGAACTGCTGTTCAGCTGCCCTGCAACTTCTGCATAATAAGGTTACTGGGTGGTGCGTTGGTGAATATTGTTCCCACAAAAACATGCGTTCCCCACAGCGAGTGTCGGATCACTCTGCAGCAGCCCAAGTCCTCGATCTGAAAGCCCAGGTGACGGTATCGGTCATCTGTCTCAAACAGTGTGTTGTTTGTGTACGAGCCAAAGAACTGGGGAGAAACACAGATTGATCATATAGTTGACCTGATCTCATCCATCTCCTTAACAACAGCAGAAACTTCTATATAGAAGGCATATATATGGAAGACAACCATCTGACTGAACAGTTTTGTCTTACACACTGCTAGCATCACTGTGCTAATTACACAATTGGTTTCTGACAGAGAGAATAGAGATGTGCACTGCAGCCTGCTCACATTTTGCACTTTCTATTGAACACCAAAGAACAGTTATGTAACTGCAACATTAAAACCATAACAAACTGAACATGTGTGTGCCACTCGATTACATCTTACAGAAACTTTTACACAGACAAGGTGCCTACTGGACTTTTCTTCACCGTAAAGTCAAGAGTTATGTTCCATATCACCTGCCAGTTTCACAAATACAGATTGTGACTCTAGACACAATCAAACTAATAGTGAAACATGAGCTGGAGGTCTAAATTTATCTGTTACACAAAGCTGGTTAGTTGTGCACTATGATGAATTACTCTATTCATAAAAGCAGAAAATGTCTGCCTCCTGGAGCATTTCAGTAGCTCCTCTTTTTCTGTCATTTCATGCCAGTGGGAAACAATATTTAACAGATTTCACAGATTTTTACAACGGAAACAAACTACTAAACAACTTTAACTAAGCAATGCCAAAAGATTCAGATTTGATTGGTGGGTTTGGAATTGGACTGAAAACAAAATTTAAAAATGCTTTGCAACAACACAGATGTCAGCGGTATCTTACCGCCAGGCCTGATGACGGGTCGATGAAGTCCGCCCAGAACCCCTCTCTCTGCAAAGCACAGCAGATCGCCTTTGCTCCATCAACAAACTGCACAGCAGAGAAACTACCTCAGTAAACAGCCACATGAATGTACATACCACAATTCGGGTAACTTTTTCAATTTTTTTCTTTTGTTTCTTAAAGGAAATGTAATACTGGCTTAAAACGTGACATTTGAAGAGAGGGTCATAGTCTGTTCACAGTACTGGCTGTAAATACAAATCTGTAACCTGTATCTCTTTATATGCAACTGCATATGAGCAACCCTAGTGAGGATTAAGCGGTGTATAGATAATGGATGGATAATGGATGCATATGAGCAGAACCTTGTAGGTGCTGTATACACCTCCTGCCTCCCTTCACATTCACTTAAAACCAGAAAGGGTGTCGACAAACCAGCACCAAAAATATCCCCCCGCCACAAAATAGTCGCCCTCATTGGCATTGTAAAACACAGTCAATGACTATAAAGAGTTATCAGCTTAAATAACATTATCTTCACTTGACCTGTCTCCTCTCCACCCCATGTGACTCTGTTTCACATGACAAGAGCAGAGGAGAGAGGAGAACATAAATAGTTCTGCACTTTCACAATGGAACGTAGGAGCTCATTCTTGGTCTCCTTATAGACTAATGCAGGGCCAACAGTTTCAAGGGGTGCGACTCACATGTACATATCGCCATTTTGGCTACCAAATCATGAAACCTGTGATTACAACACACAGAGGAAGTGTGACTTGAGTTTCTGCAATGTTTGCCAATATGTGGGTACTTATAATCCTGCATTAGATCTATTCTGAGTCAATGCCACAGTCTACACCATTGTGGGTACTTATTCTTGGGTGCTGTTGTCCCTGTGCAGATCATGTTGGAGCTAAAAAAGAGTGAACAACAGCCAAAAATACTGCAATGCAAAAAAAAGAGAGAAGACATCCAAACCAAGGGAGTTTACAAATGTATGCAGGCTGTTTGCATTATGAGCAAGCCAGGCACAATTAAAGCCTACTGCATTTTACATTTGTTTCACAGACTCATTATGTCTGTGCAAATCTGTGAAAATATGCAGTACTATGTTTTTTCAGCGAGAGAGAGAGAGAGAGAGAGAGAGAGAGAGAGAGAGAGAGATTTACCAGTTTAATCTCTAGAATATAAGAAGAAAATAAGAAAACACCTTGTCAAGCATCTGCTCCCTCTCCTGTTCCACCTCAGCACACCAGGATGTCATATCACTCTGCGTCTTTTGGGTCACTGTGACCACCATCATACCAGAGGATGGAGATTCTGGAAACATGGACTGGAAATCTGTTCACCACACAATCAGGAAACAGTCATTAGATTGAAACAATGTCCTCATCAGCAATAAGAGGCTAACATAATATACCATCTGGTAAACAGAAAGAGAATTAAAGGCAAGTCATGTGTACCACAAACGCACTGTGATACTTTACAAAGCTTAACTTTTAAATCAGGATGGTATGAAAAAAAGCATATGCCCCTTCATTAAAATTTGTCAAATTAAAACAATGTTATATTTATGTTGAACACATACAATGTGAGAGGAATGAAGAATCAGTACCACACCTTTCTTTAGGAGTTCAGGGCAGGACTGTATGGCACACTCCACACACGAGTTGTCAAAGTACTGTTCAGCTGCTCTGACATTCTGAGAAGAGGCTGGAATATCTTCCCCCTAAATTACAGACACAGACACACACAGACACACGTCAGAAAAGCAAGTATTACCCTTGTTAGTGTGTAAGCAATACAGCAAAATATAATCTCATTCTCAAGAGATCTACTCGCAACAAATAATACAACATGGAGTCACAGACAGACAACACTGTGGGACCTGTTCTCAACAACATAACAAAAAACTGAGTTACAGATAGGATCAACATGAAACATGACATTAGACACTAACAAGGAAGGGGTGCATGGTGTGGCTATGGAGCTCTTTGTTTTCCTTATTTAAAAAGTATATATCAGAGAAAAGGTAATTTGCACACTTGAAGGCAGTATCCTTTTGAGCTACCTGGACAGAGTGTATAAATATATGAGGAAACGAGCAGGAAGAGAATTCTGTGATGTTAATCTATATCCATTTACTATTACTGTTAAATGATTCCAAAGAGTCTACTCTACATACAGCTGAAACCAGAAGTTTACATCCACTCTATAAAAAAACATAAAATCTTTTTTTTTTCACTATCCAACATTAAATCAGACTAAACTTTTCCTGTTTTAGGTCAGTTAGGATTACCAACATTATTTCTATTTGCTCAATGCCAGAATAATGAGAGAACAGCATTGTGGAATGACATATCAATTCCTCAATTAAATATTCAAAATTAACTAATGAAGTAAGTTTTACCTTGTTGCATCACACATTCCAAGATCATAAGATGGCCAAGCTTGTAAATCTGTCAAAGTATTTAAATTCAATAGGAAATGACTAACAATAGTCCATTTTCCTGAAATCACAGGAACTAAAAATAACAATGTGTATATTTTGACGCAATGTTTCATTCCGAGGCAAAATAATTCTCACATACAAATGCAATACGAGGATTAAGCCAGCAGATGCCTCCCCTGTGATACCATCAATTGCTGTGAAACAATGGCCAATTTTCAGCAGTGAATTATTGCTGCAGAAAGACAGAGGTTGATCTCACACCATGTACACAATGTAATTCAAAATCAGGTTGCACTACAAACATAATGACAAAATTAATACTCTTTTGTCTAATCTCAGTCATGTACACACTACAAGATTTGAAAGCAACAGCACTTTGCACACAAGTATTTTAAGATTCCTGTGCCAAAGGGAGCAGTGCACGACCTCACTGGATCTAATGAGACAGACAATGTGAACACAAAGGAGACTGCAATAATAAACTGACGACACTTTGCATTGACAAACAAACAAAAGCACTTCCACCCCGGTGAAGCGCTCCGACAGGGAGGAAGTGTCCAGAACACACAGGCAGTACTTGGCTGCTGATGCTAGTCAGAATCCAAGGCTGTCTGTATGTTAAGGCTGTTTTTATGGGTTCTGTTGGTTTTTCCTAAAAACCTGTCGGATAGTAAGGTTTAGGATTGTTAAGAGTTGGATTATCGAGTCACGACTGTATACAGATATGCACATACATAAACGTATTAGACCACCACCTGATGTAAGGTTTATGCCACAGCTTCCCTAAATGAACAGCACTGGTAATCACCAAAATCATTTTCTGTAATGGTTAATATACCAGTAACCCAAATTATATTTTTAATGCTAAAATATAATTATTGTTATTCATGAATTTTCAAATTTAACATTTTACAAAAAACAGTAAAGCACATTATTATTATTTCTTGATAAGATGTCACATTATAGTTATTTACTTCCATTCCTAAACAGAAAAATTAGTTTTAGTGGTTGAATGTGATGCTTGATTCATTTCTGACTTCTCAGAGAAGCCCAGCGGCTCTGATTTGGGTATAAAAAGATGAATTCAGTTTGAAATTCCTCATTCCTCTTCAAAATGGTAAAACGTGGAGAGCTGAGTGTCGTTAAAGCACTTCATGATGCTGGATGGTCTCTGAGACAAACAGGGAAAGACAGAAAGTGTTCTCACAGTGTGGTCAGGTATGATCTGGAGTCAATTAACGAGACTGGCTCTTAGAAAATGCTCCAAGGAAGAAGCAGGAAACCAAAGTCTACTGAAGCAGATGTCGACACCTCAAGACTTGAAGGACTAGAGACAGAAGGAAGACCACTGCTGATCTTCAGGCAGAGATGATTCTAGATCAGAGTCTGAGAAGGTCTCCAGAGGGACCATAAGAAACGACTGATGGAACAAGGCTTAGAGGGAAGAAGAGCTGCTAAGAAGCCTTTATTGAGGCCTGCAAACATCCAGAAACACCTCAGATTTGCCAGCGAGCACAAACATTGGACTGTTGATGACTGGAAGAAGGTCCTCTGGATGGACGAGTCCACGTTTGAACTCTTCAGTCAGCATCGTCGTGTTTCTGTCCTCAGAAAAGCTGGAGAACGTTTTGATGCCAGATGCACCCACAGTGGAACACGGTTGAGGTTCCATCATGGTATGGGCTCCATTTGTGGACATAGAGTGGACAAATTAGTGAAAATCTACGCTTTCATGAACCAGAACGTTGACCACAACATCTTAGTGCATCATGGATCCCTTCTGGACTGAACCTGATTGGTCATGGGTTTATATAGCAACCAGACAATGAGCCCAGCAGACTTCAAAGCTGTGCAGAGACCATCTGACCCAGAAAACAGAATCTGGAGTTCTGGAACTGATGGACTGGCCCAGTCAAAGTCTGGATTTGAATCCTATTGAATAAATTTGGGATGTAGTACATTCAAAGATTGATCACACAAAAGTTTAAGCTAAATCGAGCCTGTGAACAGCTAGGAACTATCTGGAATTCAGCAACAACAGATACGGTTGTCTGTGAAGCTTCTCAGTCATCCAGGTCATGGTTGTTCTGTTAGATTAATAGTAGCATTAATCATAGCATTATATCGAAGTATCTGGAATTCCCAACTAGTCAGTCAGAACTGATGAAGCCTCTTGGATGAGAGGTGGAACGTCTTCAAGGAACTCAAGCAAGTCTAGCTGCTATGATTAAACTATGCAAATAACAGAGACTGTCGAAGAGTTCATAAAACAAAATCCCAGCAAGAATGCAGCTGTTATCAAGGCCAGAGGAGGCCATACAAGATATGAAGGTTCTGGGTTATTATGTGTGAAAAGGGACTGTTAAGTTGTTTCAGTTTGTTATTTGTCAAATAAATAACAACAACAATTTTAGTTTTAAACAAATTTTTGAAAGATTTCTAAAACAAAATTTTCTCATTTTTATGAACGGTGGTCTGATAAATGTGTTCAATACTATGTACACTACCGTTCAAAAGTTTGGGGTCACATTGAAATTTCCTTGTTTTTGAAGGAAAAGCACTGTACTTTTCAATGAAGATAACTTTAAACTAGTCTTAACTTTAAAGAAATACACTCTATACATTGCTAATGTGGTAAATGACTATTATAGCTGCAAATGTCTGGTTTTTGGTGCAATACAGTACATAGGTGTATAGAGGCCCATTTCCAGCAACTATCACTCCAGTGTTCTAATGGTACAATGTGTTTGCTCATTGGCTCAGAAGGCTAATTGATGATNGTACGCAAGAAGTGCCCATCCAACCAATCCAACTTGTGGGAGCTGCTTCTAGAAGCGTGGGGTGCAATTTCTCCAGATTACCTCAACAAATTAACAGCTAGAATGCCAAAGGTCTGCAATGCTGTAATTGCTGCAAATGGAGGATTCTTTGACGAAAGCAAAGTTTGATGTAAAAAATTTTTTTATTTCAAATACAAATCATTATTTCTAACCTTGTCAATGTCTTGACTCTATTTTCTATTCATTTCACAACGTATGGTGGTGAATAAGTGTGACTTTTCATGGAAAACACAAAATTGTTTGGGTGACCCCAAACTTTTGAACGGTAGTGTATACATATATAATTCTAATAATGGTGATGAGACAATATTGTTAAACATTAGCTTCTACAGTAATATACAGTAGAATTGTATTCAGTATTTTTTTTCACTATTTTCTGTCTTTTGCCACCTTAGTTTCTCACTCTGCTTGAGGTTAAAGAGAGGAATAAAAGTGGTTGTGTGTGCATTACATGCATCTGACTAACACAAAGTGACGTATTGTTGCTCTGGAGGTTGATATCCAGTTTCTTTAACATTGATTTATTTGGACCAGTACTTGTTGTCGCCTAATATACAAAATATCACAACTTTTACCAATCGACATGCGCTTTTGTCCAGGCCATTTTATAAAACATGATATTGTGTTCCTCTTTCACTGTCACAGTTTTCCTGTTCTCAGAAAAAGAACTTGTGTTAAAATTATTAGACTTACAAAGAACTCTCCCATGAACTGAGCCAGTATGAACTCATGTCTGTCATTGCTGGATGGAGCAGACAGCACATCAGGGACCATCTTGTGTGGCAGGCTCTTCTTCTGCTCTGCCAGTCCTTCCAGGTGGCAGCCAAAACCCATATTACCAGGCAGTTGGAAGCGCTGGTCCTGGGGCCCAAAAGGCCCCATGCTCTCATCAGGCCACACTGTCTGCAGTCCTGAACCACAGCAACGTGATAGGAAAAGAGCATGATCCATGAAAATGTATATTGCACAAAAAAACAAAACAAAAAAACCCCAATCTTGGCTTATACCAAAATCAGTAATCAGAGGAGACTGTACTATTCTCAAACACATCCCCACCCTTATGCCTCAACAGTATAACAAGACACACACTGTGATCATCTTATTTTACATTTTATAATCAGGTCCTGCTACCCAGTATTACGGTGTAAAACACTAAGATATATGCCATACCCATGTCAGAGTCCGTGATGGCTAAGTGGGACTCATCAGAGCCAGAGGATTCGGCTGCAGAGAAGGCTCTGGCTCCCAGCACACGATGCACCAACACATGGAGCCCTGGGAGGTAAGTCACCAGTCTGGTTCTGCTGCACAGCACCTGTACACAAAAACAAATCAAACACGCTTAAACATATACATACAGACCGTGTATATCATGGCAGCATTGAGTTTTTAAGGGCCCCTTAAGCTTTGAATTTTCTACGACGGGATCATACAGCACAACTGTCTACATTAGTCTACATTTCTGTTGTTCAGCCTCATAAAAGTCAGGTGAACACAACAAAAACACATTTTAGTATGACATTTCAGAATAACAGTATAATAGTAGAGAAACATCAGTGTGCAGTATATGCAACAATTCCAATTAAAACTGCACATGAGAACCCTTATAAAGAAGAAAGTGATTATAGGACTGTTGTATTAAACATCAAAATACACAAATGTGACCAATGTGTCCAATACGAGGTCGATTAAGTGTGTTCTATTTGTCTAATTGTAACAGGAAACACCGACTCCCACCCCCACACATACACTGTCCTGGTGGTGGCTACTGCATTCTGTTTAGAATGACACAGTCAGAAAAGTGTAGACTCAGACATATGAACAGGTGGTGTACAGGTAACGGATGGATCACTTACACTGGTCATGACACAGGTGTGTCTGTTTAAATCCAGTGTCCGGTGACGTTTCTGGAAGAGCAGATGATGATGTGATCAGAGCCATTTCTTAACACGTCCGCTGATGTTACAGTCTCAACAAGCAAAAAGACCAATATCCCAAACACAAAAAGTGGTGTCGTTTAGCCCACTTGGATTTGACGTTCATTAAGCCTCCGTAACGGAGCACACCTGGATCCTCTGACTAACAGGACTCTCAACCAAGCCTTTAAATACAGCTGACAACGTGTGGTCAAGCCCTCTTGTGTGCGAGCTGACACCTGCCAGGAGACTCTTCTAAGTCACGGAGGACATGAGCTAACACAAGCAGCAAAACACAACTTACCGAATGTCCCCGAGTTCAAGTTGCCGGACTGCAGCAGTTGGCGGACTGCAGATACTGTCTTACAGACACGTCCAGCCGATGTTTGCTTTGTGGTAGTTTTATTTCTTGAACAGATGTTAATGAAGACCGAACTCATTAAAAAGTACAATTAGCACAACAGTAGCTACGGCAGCTCCGAGAGCCAGAATCACCTTGAATTTGCGCATGTGCCGTTGTTGTAGAGGCACGTCTGCTTTTTGAAACTGCTTCAGTGCTCATTACTGCCGCCCACTGGTGTGGAGCCGAGATTTATTATTATTATTACGGTCCGAGGACCGCTGCTTGCTACAGCAAGCTATTGTTCCTGCTTCGTTACTTTCTTTCTTCTTATTTTCCTGACGAACGCGAAACCCTTAATTTGACCCCCTAAACACGCTCAAAAACTCACCAAAATCGACATGTACAGCCGATGGTGACTAACCGATCGGTTAGTCACCATCGGCTGTACACTACTTTTTACGGTGCATTGTGGGATATTTTGAGTGCACTATATAGTGGATGAAATTTACCGCTGGGAATTCGAACAACGCTACAAAATGGTGTGCACCCTATATAGTGCACTATGTAGGGCATAGGGAGTGACTTTGGACACAGCCGTTATCTGCAGTGTGGGAGGAAGTGTTTTAAGATATTTTGCAGAGGTCATGTCTTTAAGTAAAAGTAAAAATATACTAAAATACTAAATTAGTGACTCAACATGCAGAATGGCAAATTTAATTAACTGAATTGAGTATTTACTGATTATATTTCAGTCTGTATTCAATTACTCCCTAATAATCTAAAATAAATGTAGAGCAGTAAAAAGCAAGGGGAAAATTAACTGAACATAGGCGAAGGGAGGGGAGGGGCCCCAGGTGGAATCTGATTGGCCCCCCTCGCGCCCCCCATCTGCTAACATCAAATGAAGACACTTTACACAGAGATGTTTTGGGAGCAGCCAGGGTATTCCCAATCCCAAGTTTGAGTTACAACTGAATGGTGCCATTTAGTCTCTGTTACAGCAGCAGCCAGGGCTGTTTGAAATGTCAGAAAGAGGTGCAGCCAGCATGGTTAGTTATCATAGACTATGTTAGTTATCTTAACCCTATTCAGGACCTTCATGTTGCCATACGTAGAAGGTTATTGGGGGTACGTTGGAAGAAAGAATATGTCCAAAATAATTGTTGGTATTCATTATAGACTTTTATACTATGTTAACTACACAAAATCAAAATCACCCCTCCCTCTCCAGTGAACATCCAGGGCATGGACATTGAGATAGTGTACTCCTACAAGTACCTGGGTGTTCACCTGAGCAAAAACCTGGACTGGACTGTTAACAAAAAGGCTGGCTCTGTACAAAAAGGGTCAGAGCAGACTCCACCTGCTGCGCAGACTGAGGTCCTTCGGTGTACAGGAAGGCCTCCTGAGGACCTTTTATGACTCGGTGGTGGCGTCAGCCATTTTTTATGGTGTGGTCTGCTGGAGCAGCAGCATCACGGCAGCCGAGAGGAAGAGTCTGAACAAGCTGGTGAAGAAGGCCGGCTCCGTCCTGGGCTGCAGTCTCGATCCTGTGGAGGTCGTAGGTGACAGGAGGATGACGACAAAGCTGTCATCATACATGGACATTACCTCCCACCCTCTGCATGGGACTGTTAAAGCCCTGGAAAGTTCCATCAGTGCCAGGCTTCTTCATCCACGCTGTT